GATTAATTATCTAATATTTTATTTAATTTGTAATTACAGGTAATTGATGATACATAATGAAGATCTTGGCCATTTTCGTCGTGGGGTGTTTGTTGGTATTTGGGAAATTCGTCGAGGCTAATGAAGAAGAAATGCTTGTCGTCAAGAAGTTGAAGCTTGGTCGAAAGGAGGCTGCTAGAGCTGTGTACGAGGTTGTTCAAGGTAATAATAATAATAATAAAATAAATGTTGAAGGAAATCGATCTGAAAAAATCGTTGACAATAATGACGATGATTCGAACGAGAACGAGGATAGTTCAGAAGCAGATTCGCACCGTTTGTTTCCAGAAGAAGGGAAACCTAAATTCGTTAACCCTCCGCGTACTCGTCGCATGCCCTAATTAATTAACATGATTTCCGATAACCAACGGGACAACGATTAAGATGGTGTGTAATAAGAAGCCAAAGAAACAATCTATATATATGTTTTCAAGTATTAATTTAAATTCTGTTTGCATGGTGTGCTAGTGTGTGATTTACTTTTGCTATGTATTATGGCTTTTATGAAATGTTTATAAGTGTGGAAATTAAATTAAAATAAAGTTTGTCCTAAAATTGTTCTTGATGATGATTAATTACTATATATAATTTATGAGCATAAACTAGATTTTTCACGTGCAACTCTACAAATAAAAATCAATTAGTATTAAGACTTAAGAGTGGTTCATTATTTATATTTTACACAAAATATATAAAATTTATTTAAAAATCTTTTAATAGTAAAAAAAATAATATATCAGGTGCATCAATTTGCTTAAAAATATTGGGCCAGTTGTATTAATTTGTTTAAGTTGGGCTAAGGGAACCAAATTTCGGAATGATTAGGCCTCTTGGACTTTTCTTATCTAATTTCTTATGCCTCATAGTATAAATAATTATATTAATATATAAATTATAAAGTTTAGTTTTAATAAATGTATATATTGAATTTTATATGGTATTTTATATGGTATTTTATATATATTATTAAACAAATTTTACATCACTTAAATACAAGAAAAAATATAGATGGGTTGTTTTAATCAAGATTAATTAAAAAATATGGAAAATTAAATTGGATAATCATTTTGTGTACGTATAAAGTCAAGTTATAACAAATAGCTCATCTATATTTGAAAATTAATTATACATTATACAAAAATCGAGAAATTACACCCATCACGAACCACAAATCACATGCCGTAGCATCGCTCTGTGTTATTTTCACATTATACATTCAACTAAAAAGAAAGGAAAAAACATAAATCATACGCTAATTAACTCTCGACCGACCGTTATTTTACATGCAAGATCACACGCAATCACAAACAAGCATACAACCTAGAAAAAACGCAACGACTTTGTAAAAAAAATTACTTTACTAGAGACTCTGATTTCAAATCATGATCTCGAGTAACTTTATTCAAAAAAAACTCTTAACTAATATATATGATCATGAGTGAACTTCGTTTGTAGCACTGGGAGGAACCCTAGCCGGAACTTTACTATCACCGAAGCAATGATAACATATATTCGGACCTCCCGGAACATTCCGGTTCACTTCATTGTTACGCAGCATTCGTTTCTCCGTGTTAGCGAATTTAGGATCCGTTCGACCGATTGATCCAACAATCAAAAGAGAGGCAACGAATAAAACAACCCATGTCTTCATTGTACGTATTATATATTGAATATATAATTACCTGAAATAATAATTAAAATGTTAAAATAAAATAAAAGATACATAGTACAATATATAATTATTTCAAAATGAATAATGAACCATGCATATGAACTATTACCAAATTTCCAAATTTCTTGTCTCTCTTGTAAGTTATTTATTGCAATAGAATGGTTCCCTAAGTGGGGAGTATATATAGTGGTGATGGAAGTGCAGTGGCAAAAGAAAAAGATTATTAAAAATATTTAAAAATAACATATAAATAGATTAAATTGAAATCATTAGTCATTAACAAATATAAACGTATGGACTAAGAAGTAATTAAATAATATTTGGAATAAAGCATCTTCCTTGTTGTTTCGCACAAAATAATATTAAGTACACCTAAATGTAATGCTAACCCTTCTTTATGGTGATAATTATAATTAATAAATGTTTTAAAGGCATTATCTTCCTCCACCAAACTATTTGGAGGATTAACTAATGCTAATTGGTTCCTTTTTAATTATTAATATTATTTCTTTTGAGAAGTGTAATTTTTAAAAAAGGAGAGTGGAGGAATAAAAGTGTTCGATCGAAACCTAAAAAGCAATCATGATTGAGAAGTTTACAAGAGACAATAATATATACACCTTTTTTGTTATTTAAAAAATAATATAAAATAAATTATTATATAACATTGTTGGCCGAATTTTTGTCACCAATTTTTTTAAAAAAATAATTTATATATATATATATATATAAAAAAAAAATCAATAAAAATAATAATAATTTAACTTATGATATATCAAATATTTAGGAAAACAAAGAACACAATTATAATTCTTTAGGCCTCGTGGTTTTTAAAATAAGATTAACCATAATAAAATTAAATAATCCTGTGAAAACATATTACATTGTTGGAACGCGTGATGTTAAATAAATAATCTTCCAATTAGTCAAAATTAGAGCCATTTTTCCACAACTAAAGGTGGCACGAAAAAATCTTACACTGACCAAAAATGCAATAAAGTTTAATTGTTTAATTATATATAAATAATTAGTCTAATTTTATCAACCGAGATCTAAAGTTTTTTTGAAAAATCGTACCAATATTGTGTGCCTCAGCCAAACCATTTTATGACTTAATTCAATTGGCGCCATTCACTATATTATGAAAGTTTTGGCGCCCATTTTATTATACTATGAAAAAAATTGGCGCCATTTCATTATCCAATTCAAACCCGGACTCTATTAAATGGGTCACGCGCTAATGATAAGAGAGGTTTGGACAGGGTTGAGGGTATATGGGCCGGATCCAAGCCCATCCATTATATATAATATTTAATTTTCAAATTATAATAATACCTTGACCTGCGTTTAACTCAGTCATTTTGCTGGCCGGAAACCGTCGCCGGAATAAGTCGGAGCTCTTCTACTATCTCTACCTCCGGTGAAATAAATATTGATTTAAGAAGTATCTCATAAAACTTCGGGTAAGCCTTTTTGAATTACGAGTTTCGAATTTGTTTGGAGAAATTCCCAATTTTATGTGTTTTTTAGTTGAATTATGGGCTTCTTATTTGCTAATTAATATTACCTAGCATTTTAAGTAGGATTAGAATCGGGTTAATTGCTGTTGCGCAGTTTGGATCCGTCGGGTTGCGGGCCGGGTCAGGCGGATCCGGAGTCCTGTAATTCGGTGCGGCGGATTTGTAATATAGCTTTTATTTTTAATTAATTCCATTTTGAAATAGCTTCTTCCTTTTCAAAATTTACAGAATCGGAGCGAAAATCGAAGTAGAGAGATGGATTCAGGTGCGGGAGAAAGCTCCGCTGCAGATGATTACGAGTCGTTGATGTCAACAACCGATGCAGAGCTGTTGAAAAGCGCGTGGCGGAACGAGAAAGCTGCGCTGGAGATTCTCAAATTCAATGAGGATTTAGTTCATAGGTCACGCCAGCAGATCCAATTGATGGTGAGATAATTTTTTATTTTTATAAATATTTCTGAATTTGTTCTTAATCGTGACTGATTTTGCTAACAAATAAATTCATGTTTTTCTTTCTGTTAGTTATGCAATAATCTGATTACTGATGTGTAATTGCACGTCGAAATATTTTTTTAATTTGTTAATATTATTTTCTTAATCCATGGCTTTGTAGTTTGAATCGATGAACTTGTCGTTTACTTGTATTTTATTTTAGGAAGAAATGGTGGACGAGTCTAGTCAAAACGGCGTTGACCCACTCACGGTGTCTCTTTACCAAATGGACTTGGATAGGACCATGTTTCTTTTGAGATCCTATCTTCGTATTCGTCTCCAAAAGGTATCGTTCATTCGGCTGTAATTTGCGGTACCTCGTATTTTGGCTATCTTGTCTTGAATATAACTGTTTTCGCTGTGACATACATTTCCCGGGCAATGAGATACTTGTCAACTGATATTGTTGTTCACTTGATAAACCTTGTGGGCAGATTGAGAAGTACGTATTCCACGTACTGAAAACTCCGGAAATATGGGCTCGACTTTCTAAACAAGAACAGAAGTTTGCTAATAGGTAGTTAGTTCCCTTTTTCCGTTTCCTTGTAAATTGTTCGTTTTCAAAACATTTGATTTAACATGTTTGCACAGGTGTGGTGAAGACTTAAAACATCACCTGGAGCAATCCGTACTCTCGAAACTGCCGGATCAATATCAATCTCATTTGAGGCAATCTGGAGCAAGCGAAGACGATGATATGGGTGAGAATGCGATTTTTATATACAACTCTCGTACTTTTAATATGTATGTTGTGGTTGAAGATAAGACATGATTTGCGATCTCTACCGCATCATATTTCTTTCTCGACACGAAAATAAGTGTATTTGAAAATGTTAAATTAATTTCCCAAATATATATTTGTATATAGTTCCAGAGCCGCAGCTGGATGGATACGTTGTCTGCAGGAGCAAGAAATATTTAGGAGCCTTCCAACTTGATGACGGGTAATTTACATATACCATCGAATCTTTCAAAGTCATTAGTTGTTTTGATAAATAACATTATTGCTAATATTTCGATGATTCGACAAATATTACAGGGGAGAAGAGCCTGTTAACATTGAAGCTGATGATTTATATGCTTTACCATACAAGTCTATAAAGCCACTTGTCGAGAGTGGCCAAATTGACCTCGTTTGACTCCCGTAACAAGGGCAATATCTTGTAAGTTTGACCCCCAAAAAAAAAATCGAAATCTTGTAAGATCAAGAAAATTATCGAAACAAACTATGTTATGTTGGATCAATCGGGCCGTGTTAATCAGATTTCCTCTTCTTTCTTGCTTGATTGCCTAAATTATCCTCTGTTTTCTTGATCATCAAGAAGACTAAGGTAGTCAACTTGTTTTCCTCAGTTTATTTACGTGTGAAATACATTCGATACATGATCACCGTTTACACATTCATATTCGTGTATGTGAACGTTTTCGGAAAATTTGATGCTTGCTAACCCCTCAAACATACCAAAAGCCAATAAAATTGCAACTTTTCATTGACTTTCTTCAAATATTTCAAGATTCTACCAATTCCAATTGTATGAACCTAGATTATAATACAGACAAGACTTAGCATGGCCTTTGCAGCATGGCCTGTGCTAATTCATTACAAAATTATTATCTAGAATCATCCAATATTTAATTAAAAATTAAACAAGAAACAAAAAATCATCCACCCCAAAACAAAGTTATTTTTTTTAATATATATATATATATATATATATATATATATATATATATATATATATATATATATATATATATTTTCATGATCATCAAACAGCCAAAATCTTGAGCAAACCCTCGAAAGTGACGCCACCATTTTCGTCACCACCAGCCAATTTAATCATGGCAGTGACGTCATCATCGCGGGCCTCAAGCCCGGCCCGATTCAAATAGCTCTTCAAATCTTCATGCCCAACTTTGCCATCTCCATCTTTATCCATAGCCCTAAAAGCATCCTCCATCAAATCAAATCTCCCATTTTTACCCTTCCCACCGTTCAACAACAACACCCTCTCGAATTCATCGTACTCCACGAACCCGTCCTTGTTGGAATCCGCCGCCCATATCATCGACCCGATTGCATCCTCGTCGGAGGATCCATGACCCGACAACCCGCCGTAGAACGTCCGGAGATCGTCGCGGCTGATCCTCCCGTCGCCGTCGACGTCGAGCACGTCGAACGCCGACCGTAGATTTGATTTCGGAGCGGCTCTTTTGTTGCCGTTTTCCAATATGCTGCTTCCAGTTGGACACATTATTTCTTTTTTTAGAGAGAGAAAATTTAGGATTGACAGAGAATGTAGAGAGAGAAAGAAGAGAGAGAGAGAAGGAAATGCAAAATTGGCTGCCACAAAAAGATGGGATTGAGGGGTTCAAGTATTTATAGAGGGGGGTTTTGGGGTCAAATGTTTGTCAACCAAGTTTTTATTTTTTTTATTTTTTATTTTTAAATTAAAATAATTGTTTGATTTGTTCACATGTTTGCAAAAGATGTGTGTGAAAGGCGTATGTGATGACGTCGTCCCAGAATTGGGACTACTGGTCTCTCAATAAATGGGGGCCCACATTTGATTTTACAACCATTTGACTCAAAGTACTACATTTTGGGCCTTTACTTTTTCATTTTTGTATTTTTGTTCCTCAATTTTATTTATTTTTTATTTAGTTTGGAAAGTCGGGTATTTCTTCTTAAGAAACAATTCAACGCGTAGTCGACATCCATTCCAATTAAATTCATCTGATGTAATCTCACTGAATGTGCGTAGCATAGAAATAATTGAATCGGATGAATTGCGTCGACAACCATTCAAATTAAATACATCTGATGTAACCTTCATCGAGTGTGCGTAATATAGAAATACTCGAATTGGATAAATCGCGTTGACAACCATTCCAATTAAATCCACCTGATGTAACCTTCACTGAATGCGCATAGCATAGAAATAATCGAATCGGATAAATCACGTCGAAAACTATTCCACGTTGTATAATTTTTATCGGGTGTAGTATAAAAATAACTGAATTGGATAAATGGTGACTTAGCTGGAAATAATTATTGTTGATCTTTAATTAGCAAAGACCAAAATAGGCTTAATAATAATTGAGTGAGGGTATATTTCACTTTCTTAATGTTACCAAAACCTCTATCATTCTTTCTTTTAAAGAACGATTGTTACTAAAAGCTATAAGGACCACTTGTTTTTGTTCCTTTGTGAGAGATATTGTACCTCCATTTCTAATGGTTTTGAAATTTTGACTTTTTCAAACCTGAGAATCTTTTCCCGATACTCGTATACTGTTTAGTGGTGGAAATCGGCCGAATCGAATCCAAAGCAACATTTTCAGAAAAAAAAAAAAAAAAAACCAATTCCACATTCGATATATTTTTTTTTAATTGGAATAAAAAGACTTATTTCAAATCAAAAATACAAATAAAAATCGAAATTGACAGAATTCGAAAGTTAGATATTTTGTTCATAATGTACATGATAATATGCTTAAATTACGACCATCCCTGAGAAAATGTCAAATTACGAAACACCACCTCGTAATTGAGTAATTACAACTGCATGTTATAAAATCGATAGAAAACAAAATCTCAACTTGGGCTAAATTAAAAGCCCAATCATGGGGCAACTATTATAGCCCATTGGCCCAGTTAAAACCAAACCCTAGCTCTAGCTTCAGAAACTATTTAAATCAAACCAAGGCAGCTTATAAAAATCCGTTCTTTGCTTATCTCACTCTAGAAACACTATCAAAACTGTTGAAATTTATTTTAGAATTTTCAGATGATAGGTATAATTTGTTGTTTCTGTTCTTCTCTGTCTCACAGCACACACACGCAACCAAAATTGGCGAATTTATTTGTTAAAAAAAGTCATGATTAATAAAGGGCTCTGCCTCTGAAAGAAATTCCTATTTGATATCGTAATTAGGGATTTCGAGGTGATATATGCGTACAGTTATTTCTGTATGTATATATTGCTGATGTGGCGAATAAATATTTGCAGTAAGTTGAGTCGCTTCGCCTCAGTGTTTTTCCAGGCGCAGTGAATAATCTCACTGCTAAATCCACTTTAATTTATTTTATTTTATTTCTTTTCCATTATTTTTTTATTAATCCTGAACAAAACAAAATTTGAGTTTGGGGGTGTTTTTATATTCCAGTGATGATTAAATCTTTGAGACCTGATTGTCTAATTTGATGACAAATTATAAGCAAATTTCTCTGAGGATTAAATACCCTTTTCTACTATCATTTTCGGATTTTTATATTTATTTATTTCGGATATTAGCAACATAATGTTAAAGAAATTGGATGAATAATAATAAACAAAAATAATAAGAATTTTTCTTAAATTGTTAATATTTAATAAATATGTAATTAATGTTTAGCGAAATATGAGAATATCTAAAGATATGAGATTTATTATTGAGGGGAAAGTTGGAATTGATTGGAAAAGATTACGAAATCACTCTCGGGTGTTGTTTGGCTAAATTTAGAAGTTATTAAAAATGGATTATAAGATGTTTAATACATTTTATAATTGGCTAAATTTCGGATTGAAATTTTAATAATTCAAATAAGTATTCAAACAATTTTAAAATCAATTTTAAAAATAAACTTAGGCAAACAGCCTTTTAATTGTACTTGTAACTAAGTAAAAATAAAATCCTGAGAATTATTACTTTTGGAAGAAGTTGAAAGTTATAATTGAGAAAAATCAAAATCAAAATCAAAATTATGTGCAAATTCTTTTTTTTCTTCTCCAAATTATGGATCAAAATGGACATAATCCAAAACTACCCCCCCTACGCATTTTATAATCGACAAAGTAAATACAACAGACTTAATAGAGAATTGAACTTTTTCTGTGTAAAATTTATAAGAATCTTTACTAAAAAAAAAAAAAAATTTTATAAGAATTATACAGTTCAAATTATCCTATTGAGAAAAAGGAGAAGTTAACGAAATCAGCGTGCCGGAGATGCAAAAAAGATAACTGCGAAATACACAAAAAACCCGGCTAAAAGAATTCCTGCGTATATGTAATTTTGCGAAGAGTGCGTCGGGAATTTGTATTGAATACTACAGCATTTCATCTTCTCCCTTTCACTCGTCAAAACGTGCTGCACATACCTGCATTGTAAAAAATACATGACACATATATACGATAATAATATTCAAATTATAGTAGCAAAATAGCCTGGAAACTTACTGCTGAGTGAAAATCGAGCTTTGAAAAATCTCTGAACTGTTTAAATGTGCATCTTGCAATCGATGATCATATAACATGGAGGATAGGTCAACAAGCTGTTCCTCGAGGCTCTGTGTTAATAAAGGGGTATAGATAAAATAATCAAGATAACAAGTATGTAATTATATATAACACATAATAATTGTTGTATTTATATACTAGAAGGAAAAGACTTACATCCAAGTATTTTTCCAATCGTTCAACTAACTCGTGTGGGAATGGTTCTGGCAAGTTGGTTTTCTTCTTGTAGAACTTCTCCACCCAAAGCTCGGTGCTCGATTTGTTCTTCTTACCCTTCACTGGTTCTCCCAGAGGAGTTTTCAGATGTTCTGCAGCAAAGGCTTGAACAGCCTGGTAAACAAGATATTAATTATCAAGTACTTAAATAAACTTTTACGAAAAAAATAAATAAATAAGCTGAATGATATTGAATCACCTCTGATGTAACTCGGATTCGATGGAGGGCTGAATGAACACGAGCATATACTATATTCCTCTGTACAATCAAATTAACAATTACATTTAGCCATTTGCTGACACACACACACACACACACACACAACTAAGAGATAAGGGAATAGAGAGACGAAAAGTTTACCAGGGCAACATCACGAAGCAATTGACTGATTTGAGAAGTGTTTGAAAACGGGCCAAATGGATGACAACCAGCGGCCAAGAGCCAGTTGACCATATGCCGTTCGTGAACATGAGAAGCCTTTTCGTATGGAGCACTCAACCCACCCACAACAGATGCTAGTCCGGCCAATATATGGCGCTGCGCTTGTGACGGTACAGCATGTCTTCTCTCTAACTCGGATACGTAACTGTTCAATAGAGAAAGGAGATAAGGAATTTTGAGAATGTCGGATGTAGGTTCAATGGGGTCATTGTAATCAATTACACTACCAAAGAACCCGAACAAACGTGTAAAGCTAGGACATGGTTATCGCCGCACTTACCTTAGAGGTATCTTCTCACTTTTATGTTGAAGCACAATAACTACATCGTTACTCGTCCATACAAGACTGTCATCTTCCATCATAAGGTGTTGATCAACATCAGCCAGTGATAGAACAAAGCTGCAATATGTATAGTTCGTCACTTTGTAATAATAGAAATACTAATGCAAGAAATAAATTATGCTTTTAGCATCACTGCATCACAATATTAATTGAGGACTTATCAAGTAAATTAATCATGAAATTAGAGAGGTTGAAGTTGCTCACACTGGCACAACCCTAGTTCCATAAGTTCGGTACACGTTTCCCTGTTTCTTTTTTTCCGAACTTTTCTTCCTATCCTTCTGATTCCTCGAACCATAAGATGCCCAAAGAGGTTTATGCTTTAGTATGGAATCATCAGTCCCATCAGAATCCTCCATCCAGTCCTGGAAATAAACTAAACATTAAGGTCAAAGTAGTAGGAGGAATGCGGAAAAAAAGACTACCACCAACATAGTGCATGCAAGCAAGGAAAGAGATAGCTAGTGGGTACATTCTTACAAATGGTCTGCCAACCATAACGCATGAATGTTCCATAAATAGTTCAACCAACCTGACGAAGGAAAAATTTACTCGAAAGATCTGGGTCAGACACCTCAAGTAAACCTGCTGCAAGCACATCGGCAGATCGTTCCATCTCCTGCATTAAAGATGTTTTAGTGATTAAATCAAATAACATTTAGTTTAGTAATCTAAACTAAAAGTTTGACTTAGAAGCAATAAGAAGTTGCTACTTTTCAGTTGAAAGAAATCATAATGGACTTCACATCAGCGGTAAACCCTTAAATATTACTGTTAGATGAAACCATCAGGTAGTATTTATCAACTTGGCAGATCAGCTAGAACAGTAGATGAAAACGGAAGTACCTCCTTAAGAATAGCACCATCCAGATATGTCTTTGTATGAACATGAAAGCGTCCATCCTTCTTGGTTTCTTGAAGAGAATGACTCCTCATTGCTTTTGAGACAGCAATGGACAACTTTTCGTGGCGATGCAGTGCATGTGAACCTCCGACAATTACAACTTCCTGCCCTTGGTGGACCATCTTCTTAACCTGAAGAAAAACAAGCAATGCAAAATAAGTATACTCCTACTATGGCAATATGTCCAACTTACAGAACAATGAATAATCCAATAAACCAATTTTCTTGAGTTTCTGTTGACCTATAAAAATGATAACCTAAATAAAGAAACCAAAAGGCAAGAATCGATATCAAGGAGATTTAACCTCAGCTTCGATTGCTTCGACGTCTATACTGTAATTGTGGCCTTTATCCATGATATTGTACCGATTATGATTCTGGAGGACAATAATAGGTACAAGTAACCTAGTAGTCATGTCAACAGTTTCATACCTGTTCCAAAGAGCAAGAACTTCATCACTTGAATAAAAAAAGGCACGAACACCGACGAGAACCACACAGACAGAAGCATCAAGATTCACTATTAATGAGGAAAACAAGATATAACTAGCAATGTAGAAAGATGGGAGAGAGTTGCAGAGACTGAATATAAACGAGACAATGAAAAGATGAAAATAACGCATAAAGGAGGCAAGAGGACTTTCCAGGCAATATGAATACATTAAATAGTGCAAGGATGTATTTATTTGACATAGATTGAATTATAATAACAGCAATTGCTGCTCAGTAATTATCAATTAACTTCATCGGGAGAAATGATATGTTGGCAAGGTGATAATTACAAGAGCATACCTAACATATTGGGTTCTAACTTCTCATACAGTAGTAGGCTAAGAAAATAATGTCTAACATATCGGGTTTTCCTACAGTACGATAAGACAACCATACCTAACATCTGGGGCTATAACATGCTCTACTGTAGTTGCAACCACTGCAGCAAGTTTTCCGACAAAAGTGTCACGGGTAGATTGTTCATTACTTTCCCCTGGTCTAGGAAACACCACATTTTGCAATCGTGGTAATGTTTTAGGATTAACACTTCCTTCTTCAGTTTCAATCTTCCCATACGTACAAGGTCCAGCAGAGAGGTCAAGCACAACAAATCTGGGTATTGTGATCAAACAACATCAGAAAATTTGGAAACACAAAAGCAGAAGTAACTAAAAGACAAGTACATTTTGTTATTCTGGCAAAAACATCATTTACGGGTCAGATTAACTTGAAGCTGAGTTCCATCTGCCTTATAATCCTAAATTCATCTTACCTGCCAGATCCGAGCCAAATCTGAGATGCACCTCCTCCATTATACCGATACCGATATATGTAATCCCCCTCTTGTTTCTTCATATCCTCTTCACTTAGTGGTGGGATCTTTTCGTACATTAAACTATCAAGATCAAGCTCCTTGTTTCTAGGATCTATTCGCGTCTGCAAATAAGCACAACGAATATCGGCTTTCGGTAAACCCAAGATTCTATGAAGATTAATTACTACAAGCAGTTCATCACTATCAAATTAACTTCGCAGATAACATAAGAATCAACATTTGAATGACTACTGATCTTCGACAGTGTGGGGAGCTAAGGTTGGCATAACTGACCTTATCAAAATTAACGACAAAAATAGCAGTTGGCCTAGGCCGGTCCATTTCTTCAGCAGGGAACCCCGCATTTTCGACATCGAAAAGGTAAGAGTAAAGCTTCTCAAATTCTGGTTCAACAGCTGTCGCTTCCACCTCAAACAAAGGAACTTCCCTTCCAAAATCTGCCTGTAAGCTATAAAGTTAATCAAACTTCCATATAAACACCAGAAAATAACAACCCTCTTTGGAGAGCCAAAATATGCATATGCAGTTACCTCTCTAGCGCTGCCAGCTGGAGCCATAGCTGCTTTCACTGCTTTCTCCAATGCTATAAGCTCTGCCTGTCCAATCTGCAGGGAAAATGGAAAATGGACCATGGATTAAATTGCCAAAATTGATAACGAAATCGACACACACATACACACACACACACATATATATAAGGAGAAACTGATAGGCTTACCGGGAATGCATTAAATACTACATGATGTTCAATGTCAAGGTGCTGGCCAGTCTCTAAGCATGAAGGTCTGTGAGTGGGAAAGCCAACTCTCAGAAACTCATCCAATTTTTGAGAATCTACACTATACCTATAGCCTCCATCACCATTGAAACCAATAAGAACAACATTTACTTCAAGAGGGACTTGAAACGGAACCTGGAAGAGAGCTAATGATGTAAGAACAAATCAACGAAGAACATGTTCCAACAATATATTTTAAACTTTTAATTCTTTCATATGTCAGACTACGGAGTTCTTTTTTTTATTATTCCAAGTTAGAAGAAAAGAAATCCACAAAACTAACACAGCTATAAATATTCTTTTCTTGTGCATTCGCTTAAAAAGTGAAAATGATGAGGTCCTTCAAGTATTTATTAAGATAACTCATAAACACAACCATAAACGCAATCAATTTCTGTAAACACCGTTTACCAGAACTCTTAAATTTACAAGGTTGATGCAATTTCAACACTTCAAACAAACTCATTATTGATAAATGAAGAAGAGAATAAGATAAAAAGGCATTTACAGTCTGAATTCATATAAACCAAAAAAATGAAAGCCACAGGAACCAAAATTTACTGCAGCAGAACAAGCATTTCAAAACTTCAGCTACCAATTCCTCATCAAAATGAAAAACAATCACAGTCCAAAACAACACTATTATCGTATCTAATAACACACACACACACACACACACACACACACGTGCGGGTGTGTGTATTGTGCGATTTGTACCTCAGCGCGACTGTGGAGCATTTGACGAAGATCAGATCGAACGGAATCCTTGACATCGTGAAACGCCCCATGGTGCCACGTCGGATGCCCTGGGTCTCTACGGTACGCCTGCGGCGCAGATTCTACACATATCAAGCTCAATAAAACTCCCAACAAACAGTATGGATTTTTAATCCGCTTCATACTTCACAGAAAATAAAAAAAAAAAAAATTGGAAAAGAAATGCAACAAAATTCTGCAATTTCTCTTCGTTGCAACACTTTTCTACTGCTTAATTTAATCTTAATTATTGAATTGAATCGTCTTCTCCGTTTCCCTTCAGCATATTTCGCTGAGTTCTCACTTTGAGAAGTCGATTGACTCAGAGTACTGAAGCTGATTTCCAGAAATGCCCCTCGTTATTCGGGTCGTTTGTCGGGTGTGGGCTGGGCCTTTTTTGGCTCGAGCTTAAGCGGGCCGAGCTTTTCGAACTCGAGCCCGAGCCTGAGCCCATTTTGTGTAATTATTTTATTTTATTTTATTTTATTGGTATTATTAGAATTTCATTATTATAAATTACAATAAAAAAATTTGAAATAAAAAAATGACCTATAATTTTTTTTTAACATTTATATGAATTTATTATTCAATTTTATATTAATTATATTTAAAAAGGATAATTAAAACTTTTGTCGAGCCGGCCTAGCTCATTTACACCCCGATTATCAACTCTTAAAACACTTTGTCAGATGTATAAGTGGATTTAAGATGTAGCACAACAAGAGTGTAATGATCAACCTCTTAACTATTTAACTTGATATTGAAATTACAAAAGTTTGACAAATAAACATATTTGGTAAATTCTCTCCACATGAGATGAACCACTAAATTTATTTAACTAAAAAACGAAAAAAAAAAAGTTTACAATTTCGATGGCGTTTTATTTGAGCTCCGGCCTGCTATAAATTCCTGCATTTTCTTGAACTGCTCCTTGGTCATCCCATTATAATACTCGTGAGCTCTTTCCTGCGATCAATAAACATAAAAATTCTAATTAATATTACGAACTATATGATCCACCGTATGTTTCAAAACAACCATCGTATTCTCTCAAAAAACAAGAAACAGAGTGGCCAATCGTAATACTATTTCCTTGCTAGTCTTATACATTATTCGTTTTACATACAGATTTCTATGGTCGAAATTTATGGCAAGAGACAATGTTCTTTCTAAGCATTAATTTCAGGTAAGTAATTAAGTACCGTATGTCGAAAACACATTTCAGAACGAACAAGGACAAGTAGCAACAAAAGCTCATTTATACCCAGTACAAAAATGGTATTCAAACTATTAATTATTCTAGCCCGGATTTTATTTATTGCCCCTCTGCTCTAATTAGACATAAAAAAATGTAGTAGCAAAGGAAAGAAAGAAAAACGAAACACTAAATACCTTCTCGAGAGCGAGTGCATGACCAAGATCTAGTTTAAGTCCGTCATTTATGACGGACTTGTACCTCAAAACCAAGTCTTGATTATTCTTGATCATGGCTTCGGCAATTTGTCTTGCTTTCTTCAAAAGCTCGCTGCCTTCAACAACATGATTAACCAAACCCCACTTTTCGGCTTGGTCAGCGTTAATTGGGATTGCGGTCAACGATGCTTCGCGGGCCCGGCCCGGCCCTATAATGCGTGAAAGCTTCTGAGACAAGCCCCATGAAGGGAATATTCCAAACCTGAAAAAATCGAGTTCCAAAATAAGCCGTGTTTAGATGATTATGATATACAATACCATCTACAAAGAAACTCACATGGCGAATTCTAATTAGCTGAATCCATTTCATTTAAAAAATAATCTAAAGAACCTAAAAACAATCCGTCGAACACAAATGCAATATTTCACATGAAAATGCTAATAAAAAATGCAAGTTTTATCAAATAGTGTGATTAATTAAGTTATCCCAAAGGCCTCGTTTGCCAACAAGGATAGCACTTGATAGACTATATAATCTGAATTTGAAGCCCGTGATTAAAAAACGGGCCGGGAATTTAATCAATCATATGAATGATATGACATAATACAACAATTGCATAATCAAATAATCACAAGTCCCAATTATAAGAAAATCATATCATGGAAAATGTAATTGTATCCAATTCAATCAAATCTTATCAATCCTATCAATATTACCAAACAGAGGCAAAAAAAAAAAAAAAAGTGAACGAAATCTTCCAATTCATCACTCTACTGAGTACTGATCGATAAAGCTAAAAGCTAGAAGTCAGAAGCCAAAAGTCAGAAGCTAGAAAAATCAAATCAACTTAAACGAATAATAGTGATAAATTCATAATCAAACTCATAAACTATTCAGTACTTTAAAGTTTAAACAGAGCAAATTTGAAGCTAAATTTCACCAAATAGAAAGAAAAAATCGCAATTAGGGAAGACAAAATCAACCTGGCATGAGTGTCCATAAACTTAGCTTCTTTCGAGGCCACCAAAATATCACAGGCCAAAGCAATCTCGAATCCGGCCGTCACCGCAAACCCGTTTATAGCTCCGATTACGGGCTTCCGGCACCTCTCCATTTGAGCAACCGGATCGGTTTCCACATCCTTGACATCTCCTTTAAACACGTCCTCCGCCGCGGTCAAATCAACGCCGGAGCAGAACGCCCGGCCCGAACCGGATAGTATGATGACCCGAACCGAATCATCCGATGCCAGGCTTTTGATCGCCTTGGCCAAGTCCACCATCATGGACCGGGTCAACGAGTTTAGGGATTTGGGCCGGTTTATGATGACGAATGCGACGCCGTTTGGCTCCCGGTGAACGAAAATTAGGTTTTCCGGCGGAGGGACTGGGATTTCCATTTCTCTCTAATTGGGAAGAACACGGCGAGTTCGTGTTTTATTATATTGATTACGTGGACTTTTAGTTCTTGAAATGCGTGCCAAACAATAATAAACCTCATCAAATGGAAGGGAAAACTACAGTTTTCGCCTACAAATTTGCAACAATTATACATTTGGTCCTTCATGTTCACAAACAAAATATTTTAGTCCTTCGTGTTACAAAAAATTAATATTATTAGTCATTTTTGTAGATTTTCTGTTAGTCAACTCCTATATGTATGATTTTATTGATTCAACATCCCGAGTTCTATCGAATTGGTAAAAATAAAAAAGTAAAAGCGTGTTATAAATATTAGAACCAAAAAACATCTGTAACGTATTCTTTTAATACATAATCTTCCTAAATGATTAGTTTTTATGGCATAATAATTTGCTAATAAAATTAAATTATAAACAAATTTTGCTAATAATTTGTTAAAAATAAAAATCCATTGAAACTCCAATAAAATTATCAAACAATTTTGTATTGTTTGTTCAATCAAACAATGTTAACATACATAATAATGGAGCATAAAAAAGCACAAAGAAGTCAATGGAAAAAAAATCAATAATCCTCCAATTCATGAATAATAAAATATAATTGAAAAAACCAATAAAAAATATAACATAAATTTTAAAAAAAATAATAATAACACCAATTTAAAGTGCTATTAATTATTTTTTTAATTATTTTTTAGCCCATATGTGATTGGGCCATTAGCTGCTTAATATTGATGGGCCAAATATCAGCCAAATCGCCATTTATAAGTCGCATTGCGATTATAGCATTAGCGGCATCGGTTGGGTGATAAGCATCCCAAAAAACGTACTTTGACCGGTCTTCGCACACTTTTGATGTGGGCCCACATGGAATTAGGCCCCCAAATCTACCAGCAACTTGACAACAGGCTGAATTTGGATTCTCAAAACCTATATTCACAATCAAACATTTAAGGGGGAAAAAAATTAGCACGTGCAATGTAATTAGTAATATATAGGGTAAATTACACCTACACCCCTGGGATATGGTAAAATAATGTTTAAGGTCCCTGTGGTATTGGTAACTACAATCACCCCTGAAATACTGTTAGAAACTCTATATTGTCTCTACCACATCGGAATAACGTATTCAATGCATTGTCTTGCTAAAGTTTCTAACAAGGTTTCAGGGGTGATTGTAGTTACAAATACCACAGGGACCTTAAACATTATTTTACCATATCCCAGGGGTGTAGGTGTAATTTACCCTATATATTACTAATTACATTGCACGTGCTAATTTTTTTCCCCCTTAAATGTATGATTGTGAATATAGGTTTTGAGAATCCAAATTCAGCCTGTTGTCAAGTTGCTGGTAGATTTGGGGGCCTAATTACATGTGGGCCCACATCAAAAGTGTGCGAAGACCGGTCAAAGTACGTT